CCCCAAAACCCCAAAACCCCAAAACCCCAAAACCCCTTAAAAATATGATTCTACTGAATAGTATTAGATATAGATTTTTGTGAGTATGGAACCTATTCAGATCCCTTCGTTTCGAGTTCAAATAATGAAGCATTCTAAAGATCAAGGATTTGTGCTTTACCATATGAAAGTATTTTCTGTAGATGATAACACCTTTCATATTGAAGATAGATATAGAAATATGAGAGCTTTATGGGAAAGCATTTGAGAAGACGCAGAAAATGCAAAAAGAATTCCTAATTTCCCACCAAAGAAATGGTTTGGAAGTAAAAGCAGAGATTTCTTAGAGACAAGGAAAACTGCTCTACAAAATTTCTTCAATACACTATTAGACTCTCCTGACAAAACCATCTTTAAGCATATCATGAAATATTTCAAGAAATTAGCTAAAAATAGAGAAGCTTCAGATGCTCTTCTTAATATTGAAGAGTCTGTTACAAAGAAGAGAGAAGCCTCTCCAGTTACAAACAAGGAGGAAGAGGTGAAGTCTGCTTCTAGTTCTCCAAGGAAGCAATCTCCACAGAAAAATGAGGAGCAGAAGCAATCTAAAGCAAACTCCAAAAGAGAAGCTTATAAAGTAAATAAGGTTGCACTAACCAGCAAAGATTATAATGAGACATGTAGCAAGATTGTTGATACTTTTAATAAGAAGTTGATTGATTTTGGGTATGCTGGAGCTGAAGCAATCCAAGACATTATGGCAAAAGGGCAGAACTATGTGAAACATTTTGAAGAGTCTAACTTAAATTCAGAATTCAACTACCAAACAAAATTTTTAGACATCCCAGAAGGAAATGATAAAAACTTAGATCTCTTGGAAAACCCTGATGAGGATGCTGAAAATCAAAATGATGTTGCCAACGCTGCACTTCAGAAGAGGCTGACTCAACTAACTGTTCAACTGGGAAAAGACCAGTACGAGCAATTTGTCAGTATGAATGAGGTAGTATGGAGAGGAAATTAATAATGTTTTTGCTCAATTTTCTTAATAGTTAAGGGGTTTTGGGGTTTTGGGGTTTTGGGGTTTTGGGG